CAGATTTCTCAAGGCAACAAGGATTGCAAGCAATACTCGATCATCCGTAGCTGAGCACATTTCTTTGTATAGCGCAGGAAGACACCCTATCAATGTATTATTTTAATGAAAAAATTACCATACAGCTAACACCAAAAGACAACCTAGACTGATGAGCGCTGCCTTGTTCTGCTGGCAGACTGATAGCGACCTCACACAGCGAATCACGGTATACATCAGCTTAGGATATTGCGAGTAATTATTGAGGATGTGAACCAATGTTTGCGGTCCACCGAGTGATAAGAAAACGATTTTCGACTGAGGATCATCTGAAAATAAACCCAATATACTACATAATTGACACAATTGTTTCATGGAGGCCATTAAGAAGGCTATTCTCTGTCTAAGTAGGTTATATATTGCCAGCAAACTACGATTATATGTGCAACAAATACACAACAAATATACATATAAATATATCGAAATTATGTAACCAACTACCACGAAAATACTAGTAATGATCAACACTCTGTCTTGCCTTTTAAAGCAGTGAATTGCTAGACACAACGCCCTTACCAAGCAAGAGGAAGTAGAGGCTATCAGCAACCAATGCCAAGAATTTCCAATTATTTCTGAGAAGTAGTGGCGCCAATGCTTCTATAGCTCCAAGCACCCGTGCCTGTGCCTTGACAGTATCCACATGCATCAGAAGATTACGAAGCGTAGTAACAGCGTATTGCACAATCGTCTAGGAAAGGAAAATATGGAAACAGAAAAAAACTATAGCATATCCGGTATGAAGATGTGTGGTATAGCCTCAGCCAAGATGGTACAGCACTTTNAAAGTGCTGTACCATCTTGGCTGAGGCTATACCACACATCTTCATACCGGAACTCACACGATGCCAAGATTCATAGAAAGTCGTTCATGGTCAATATAGCATATCCAACGAGGTGGAAATAAAACAAAATAGTGAAATTACCTCTACAGGACAATAGAGCATCCTGATCAATTCAGCTAAACCCCCAGATCGGAATATCTGCATTCTTCCCTGAGGATGTTCAGATATATGGCTTAACGCTCCAATTGCATCGCGCTTTACATTGACATTGTCGCTCCTGAACAGGGGTAATACAGTTTTGATTCAAAATTATGAAAACCATCAAAGTGGCTGTGAGCTTTCTGAGTTAACATTCAGTGATTTAAACAGCCTTCAGTTACAACTAAATACTAGGGAGAATACTCGATCTCAATGACAACAGACGACTACTACGTGACACTTATCTTTAAGGGTTGTCAAGCCACAACAGAATTATAAAAGTTCTTTGCAAAAAGGAAAAGGCCTCACTTGCTGGCCTTGATCAAAGCATCAATCAAAGTTGGATACGAGGCGATAGTACGGTCCTCCTTGGAAAGGAGGTAAACACGTTGTACAGCACGCGCCAGAACGGCCTAAAGATAGAATTCCTAGCGAATAAGCCCAATGAATAGAACTAGATACGACGAACTATACCTCATCGCGGTCAGACATGAGATCAATAAGATCAGGGATGGGAAGTGTGCTGATGTCAGATGTGCCTTCGAAAGAAAGCAGATCGAGAACTGCCGTTTTCAAAACGCGAGCT